GAGCATTTTTCAGATTATTATGTAATGTGTTACTATCCGTAACCAAAGAGTAACCGTTGTACCCATATAAATGGATTTAGAAATAAAGACTCTTCTGAAAAGAAAGAAAAAAAAAACGACGTTCAATGATTTTGAGAGTTATAAAAAAAATTGTTGTTGTACAACTGTAATCAATGAAATAGAATAGAGAAAGGCAACAGGGAATGTGTCAACGAGATAATATCCCAACCAAAGAGCATGCAGAAAACAGCCGCCAAGGCCACTAATTGGTCTTCAACGCAGCAAGAAAATTCCGCACACGGAGGCGGGCTTCAGCTGGCCCCTAAACAGTCATGTATACTAGTTAAGTAAAATGGACGCCACACTTAACTCCGAAACATACAAATGAACTAAAATAAAATAACACACATGAGTAACAAAGGCCAGAAGTTCCTGAATTGGGACAGGCGCAAAAACGCGGCGGGGTCAAACATGTTTTGTGAGATCTCAACCCTCCCCTATACCTCTAGCCAATGTGGAATAAACAAACACACAGCAAAACGCACAGTAAAACTCAGTTTAAAAGAAGTCCGAGTCCGGTGTTAGAATATGTAACAGAAGAAACTAAGCAAAATGACAGTGATCAACATAAGTTAACAAAGGACTACTAGCAGTTACTGACATACCAGCTCCAGACCTCAATTAAACTGATCGAAATATTATGTCTTCATCATATGAAACTCAACCACAATCGCTCCCGTTGGGGTTTAGTATTAATCCATCATAAATTATACGAGGAGAACATAACCTGTATCATGCCAACAACTGGTTTTAGAATAAATGTGTTTATTTCCGATGCAAATATCCTATGGTTGAATCAATATGAATTCCAAAAAATTCCATCTTAATTGACTTGACAACAGTATCGTAACTATATCCCTTAAGATAAGTTAGATGTCTGCACGTTGATTTATATTTACGAATGATGTCCTTGTACCGATGATAAAATTTAGTAAATGTTTTGAAAAGTATGTGATATCGAAAACCCTGGTGTAGTAGTTTTTCAGTAATACAGAGATTTCTTTTGTAACCATCAAATACGTTATAACATACACGAGCGAATCGAACAAGTTGAGATATATAAACACCATACGATGGTATCAAGGGAACATCACCATCTAAAAACGAATAATTAACAATAGGAAATGACAAAATCATCTCTTTTATCGTAAATGTTAGTATTAAACTTCCCGTCAGGAGATATAGATATCAAGATCCAGGAAAGGGTCTTGTTCATTGTTAGTATTAGCTTTATTTAAAGTTTAACAGGATAAATCTCAAGTGTACATACTGAAGTCGTCATTATAAAAAGCCAAAATAGCATTCAAATATCTAAAAGTGTTATTAAATTTTTGTATCAGATGTTGTTTCGATGGATTTTTGCTGAAGTTAGACATAAATTGTGATTCTTAACTATGCAGAAACAGGTCCCCACTAAGTAGTGCACAGTTAGTCCCCATTGGAATTCCAATAACCTGGCGATATACGGAATCTCCATAGCGAACAAAAATGCAATCTAGTAAAACTTCAAGTGCAGTTATTATATCAAAGCATGTTCAATTAACATAGTTGATTGATTGATTGATTGACATTTAACGCTACTTTCAGCACTATTATGCTATTTCGTGGCGGGTCAATTTTTATTGGTGGAGGAAGCCGGAGTACCCAGAGGGAACCACTGACCTTCGGTAGGAAAACTGACAATCATAGCCAATTAAGATTGGAGTCGAGCGCAAGTGCCATGTGCGGGATTCGAACTCACAACCTCAGTGTTGACTGGCTAGTGACACGGTAGTTCGACTACTTAGACCACTCGGCCACCAACATTTTTTGGTAAAATTTTGCATCGCTTTGTGATTTTTTTCTTAATGAGATTATGAGGCAAAATGGTATATAGGGTAGACAAATCAAAACTTTGAACAGATTCGAAAGCACCAATATGAGCATGCAATTTATCAAGTACTTACAAAGATTTTTTGAGACTAGAAATTTAATTAATTCCGCTATTTTCGTAGGTCTTATTCGAAAAATTTATTACCAAGTTTTTGATTGTACCAAGTGCACTTGTAAGTAGAATACTCCGAGTAGACAGTTCAGTCTATTATAAAGTAATTTAAGTATGTCTAACCAGTGTTACTAATTCGTATGTGTTTTATTTGTTTTGGGGACACATTTCTGGGCATAAAGGAGGCTTTGGTTTTACATAACAAGATATCACTTAATCACAAGGGATAACCTTCTGTTTTGAATGAAGAGAAGCAAGAATCAGTCAACCGAGCCAGTAATCCAGTGCTTGTCATTGGTCGTTCTCTAGCCACGTCACGTCGTTCTCTAGCTACTGTATTGTTTCGTTTGTTGTAGTATAAATCGGTGGCCGTTTTTTATTCTCTTTTCTATGTTTTCACATTTTGACAATCTTGTGTCTATTCTATCTTACTGTACGGTATGGGGTTTGCTCATTATCGAAGGCCGTTTGGTATTTGTTCGTTTATTTGTTCGGAGTAGTGTTGATGATTTCTGTGATCTGGTGTACTGTCCAATATTTTTGATAACTCCTGTTATTCTTATCATGCATTAAAAGGGAAGATCGGGAATTACAAATATACATAAACGTAGTAAAAAATATGAAGCCCCAAAAACACCTTAAAAAGGGGAAACGCCTGAAACGAAAAATCATGACTTAGAATAAGCACCTTCCCAATGATGGTGGAACTGAGTATTATGACTCAAAACCTCCATTTGTAAGTGACAATTAATAATGACACAGCAGGTCAGGCTTTTGATACAAAACGAGGAACATATTGTATGTCGTAGGTATCAATTAATGTCCGATAGTTCGTCCTAACAATCAACTGATTAAATCATGTCAAAGTCAACATTTAGTAAATTTGATTAAAAAATAAGGAATGTGGTATTGTTACCAATGAGATACTATTCATCATATCAAACAACGTGCACTTACTTATTTTATATAGGTCATTGTAAAGCCTTCAACAATGAGCAAAATCCATATCGTATCGTCAGCTTTTAGTGGCCCCGATATGAAAAACAATGAACTGAAAACAAACATGACACACAGCAACCAACGACAACCACTACATTACAGGCTGCTGTCTTGGGACAGGCACATATAGAATGTGGCGGGGTTAAACATGTTTGCGAGCGCTCAATCCTTTTCCTAACCCGGGACATTGGTGGAACAGCATATCATAACATAAGCGCTTATATAATCTGATAGTCAGTCTCTGGACTGAAAGGGATATTATGTTAAAAATGTTTTTTTGTTTTTTTTTCCTATTCTAGTCTTTGATTGACAATAAAATTATTGTATTGTATTGTATTGTATTGTATTGTATTGTATTGTATTGTATTGTATTGTATTGTATTGTATTGTATTGTATTGTATTGTATTGTATTGTATTGTATTGTATTGTATTGTATTGTATTGTATTGTATTGTATTGTATTGTATTGTATTGTATTGTATTGTATTGTATTGTATTGTATTATTGTATTGTATTGTATTGTATTGTTAAAATCACCCAAAGTACCCATCTAAAAGAACTCTCAGTTAATGAAAATTATTTCAAAGCCAATAACAACTATCAAATAGATAATCTTCTCCTATACTGTATAAGGCACCGACCCTTTGTTTTTTTAACTAATTTTCAATAGTTTTGTTACTCATATCATCCCCAAGAATCGAGCAACATGTCTAAAAATATACCCCCCCCCCCCCCCCACCACCACCAACACTCAAGATGAATAGTATTGGCCTTAAATAGAAAAGAAGATGTGGTATGGTTGGCAAATTACAAATATACACCAATGTATAGAACAAAGGTCACCGTAAGGTCTTCAACATTGAACCAAACTCAAACCGTACGGTCTTCAACATTGAGCCAAACTCCAACCGTATTGCAAGCTATGAAAGCCCCGGTGCTATATAATGTGAAAAAAAAATCAAAAGAGAAACCTTACGGCCTTAATTTCTTCAAAAACAATAAACGAAAAACAACAACTGCAACAGCACAGCCGATTGAAACAACTGTGTAATTCTGTTAAAAAGTACAAAAAGGACTAACAAAAAGACAAGAAACACAGGGTCATAATTGTTTCGTAAAGTTAGTTCTAAGCCCAAGTTTATCTATAAAATAAACCATGTTTTCCCAACCATAAGTATCAACCAGTTCACCTCCAAAGGATTTAGCATTAAGAGTCTTTAAACAGTCTATGTTAAGAAAAGAATAACCTAGTGTAGTGCCAAAATATTTTCTGAAATATTTGTTATCGTATGTTTTTTTGCCCCAGACCTTAAAATAACTTATCAGCATGCGTCCGAACACAAAAACGGAGATCAAACCACAAAGTATGGCTTAATTATTAAAAATAAAAATCAGAGATTACTATTAAGGAATATGTCAAACATCATCGAAAATAATACATGGGGTGTCCATGTCCCGTGATCTGACCCATCAGTGTGAGAAATAAATCTTAAAGATGCAAAACCCAAGGGAAATAAATGAATTAAAACAGGAATTTAAGGCGCAGAAAAACAATTAGTCCAAATACAGGCTCGGGAAATTGAAATCCCCTTTTCTATATTGATATTAGTTTTCTTGTGTTATAATTTTTGAAGTAAATATTCCTTAATATTTTAACTTTTTCCACTTATATACTGTGTTCTTATTCTTATCAAGGATTTGTATAGATTTTTGTACAAATCCTTGTTCTTCTCAATACGATTTTACAATTAAGACAGTGGAAATTAAGAAGGAAGAAAGAATGTCCTGCCATATGAAGAATAAATTAGGAAACAAAAAACTTGAATTAGTAAGCGTTTTACAATAATTGATACTTATAGTGTGATGCCTCCAAAATCTAAAATGCTCTCAAGTCCTTAGCCTTAGGTAGAAAAAAAAAAACAAAACAGGTTCACGTTAATCACGTGACATTCTTCAATTTATAAGCTTCCTTGTTGACAAAGATATAGAACGTCCGGTTTATAAAGCCACTTGAAGGAAATGTTTTTGGCTGACGTTTTCTTGTAAAAAAATGGTGGATCGAACCGAACAGCTCCACAGAGCTCTCAATAAGTTTATTTATCATGTTGAACGAATGTCAAATGAAGACGACCCGTCAGGCAATGGATTTCACAGAGAATACAGGGTAGGATTTTTACTCTATTGTATCATAATATATATAATAACAACAAAACAAATGGTTCATTTATTTAACATGAGTGAAATAACGAACGTTGACAAGACAAACAAAATGTTGTAGGTAATATTTTCAACATACTCGGAGAAGATTGATATAAAATATTTACCTGTAAAAAGTCAGAGTTATCCCCCCTGATTGTTATATTGCCCAGGGCTAAAATTCCTTCAATCTCACTCATGTTTTTTGTATTCATTTAGTTACTAACCTAATTACAAATAAAAAATTGAAACTTTCAGTACATAAACAATGCACATGACATATCATAATTAGTGTGTTACTCTCTAAAACTAAAAATAAAGTCATTATTTACTTACATTATCTGTATGTATATGTACTGGTAGATTTCTCCATTATTATGAGCACCCCCTGAAATCTGCAAGTACAGTGGAATCTGTACACTCCCCAAAAGGATTAATGGAGATGTGTCACTAACGTATTTACAACAATATTTACATTGAAGACCCATTGGTGGCCTTCGGCTGTTGTCTGCTCTATGGTCGGGTTGTTGTCTCTTTGACACATTCCCCATTTCCATTCTCAATTTTATTACAAGGACTATTCCCACCCAAACACAATATTAAGGGAGTGCTAGAACACTGGGAAGTTTGTTATTATGGTGGAGGAGGTCGAAGTACTTGGTGAAAACCACTGGCCTGCTCAGCAGGAACAGCCAAACCGAATAGATAAAGTCAGGGGCAACTTTGGAGGCCCTTAAAGTACCCACTCTAGTTTAAACTCCTGTCCAAAGATGTGTGTGGGAGGGAGAGAGTCACCCTTCTGATGTACTGAAATTTCCAGCGCCTCGAGCCAGAATCAAACTATGGACCTTCAGCACTGCAGCTATCAGTCTTAACCACTAGGCCACAAACCCACACAATTTTATCAGTTAAAAAAATGTTGATTAATGCTAATTAAGGAGTGATAAGAACCCTAATCACAGTTTAAAACAGTATAAAGCTAATAAATTGGTGAAAGGAACCCTGATACATGTGCCTGATACCTGGCTTTTTGGCCATGGATCCCCTTCTTTCCTATTTTTCATATTTTACAGCTGTTAAAATGGATTCCCTCTTCCCAAGTTACAATAACATTTATGTATATTTAATTATTTTTTTTACATTTTAGTTTATTTTCCTTTATAGCATGTTTTTTCTCATCCAGTACAAAGTGAAAGCAGTTACATGTATATTTGTAGTCTCCTCTACTTTTTTTAGTCCCCTACTGACGACGTCGAAGGGGACTTTAGGTTTGCACTCTGTCCGTCTGTCTGTCCGTCAGTCCGTCTGTCCATCCGTCAGTCCGGCTACTCAGCTTTACATACTTTTTTTCTTCGTTCTTGAAGATATTGATTTGATATTTGGTATATAGTTTTATCATGACAAGTTATAGATCAAGTTCGAATTTTGTTCCGGTCTGATGATTTAGTCCAGAGTTATGGTCCATGAAAAAACTCCATAACTAATGTTAGTGTACTATGTTAAACCATATAATCTGTACAAAGGGCGATAACTCATTTTTTAAAAGACATTCTTTGGTAAATTGTTTGAGGAATTTTGTGGCAGGTTTATATGTTATTTTGTATAAACTAATTTTCTGAATGCTACATGTATATATATATATTTTTTTTTATTAAGTGAAATCCTTTAATTAGATAATAATCTATTTTTATTAAGGTATATATTTCATTACATTACATTGTGTAGATAAAAGTTGTTGACATTTTATAGGTAAGTTACAAATCTATATTAGTTTGTGACAAATGAAAGAAAAAATATTTGGAACTATTAATTATATTTGATTGTAATTTGAAAATAGATATACATTGTATTACATCATATCTAATGTTAGAGTGTTATAGGTTTTGCACACTTTTTTTCATCATGCTTGAAAATATTGATTGACAATTGGTAAATAGTTTTATCATGCCAAGTTACAGATCAAGTTCAAATTTTTGTTTCGGTCTGATAATTTTGTGCAGAGTTATGGTCCTTGGACTTGAAAAAACTCACTCATATATTCAGTTTTCCACAGTTTTTAGTCATGCTTGAAGATATTGACTTGATATTTTCTTTTTGTTTACACCATGACAAATTATAGAACAAGTTAGCATTTTGTTCCAGTATAATGAATTTTTACCCGGTAGGGGACTATGTATTGCCATGCAATACTCTCAGAATGCTTGTTTTTATTCAAAATGTTCTTGTTCACTAACCATCACTGCTTACACTTTAAGATTGGTTTGCTTGCCACTGGTTAAGATAATGCCACAGAGTTTAACTTAACATGTCTATCCATTAAAATTGAGAATGGAAATGGGGAATGTGTCAAAGAGACAACAACCCGACCACAGAACAGACAACAGCAGAAGGCCACCAACAGGTCTTCAATGCAGCGAGAAATTCCCGCACCCGAAGGCGTCCTTCAGCCGGCCCCTAAACAAATATATATACTAGTTCAGTGATAATGAACGCCATACTAAACTCCAAATTGTACACAAGAAACTAAAATTAAAAATAATACAAGACTAACAAAGGCTAGATGCTCCTGACTTGGGACAGGCGCAAAAATGTGGCGGGGTTAAACATGTTTATGAGATCTCAACCCTCCCCCTATACCTCTAGCCAATGTAGAAAAGTAAACGCATAACAATACGCACATTAAAATTCAGTTCAAGAGAAGTCCGAGTCTGATGTCAGAAGATGTAACCAAAGAAAATAAACAAAATGACAATAATACATAAATAACAACAGACTACTAGCAGTTAACTGACATGCCAGCTCCAGACTTCAATTAAACTGATTGAAAGATTATGTCTTCATCATATGAATATCAGGCACAATCCTTCCCGTTAGGGGTTTAGTATCATACCATCATAACATATATGAGAAGAACATAACCCGTGTCATGCCAACAACTGGTTTTTAAATAAATGTGTTTAGTGCCGATGCAAAGACCCTATAAGTGAATTGTTTAGTTGCTGCTGTATCTTAATGCCTTTTATATAAAAATAAGGAAATGTTGTATGATTACCAATTAAAAAAATATCCACCAAATATAATGATAATAATAACAATAATAATAAATTCTTTATTTAAAGAGGGAAAACACAGTTAGTTACAATTACTAATCTTCCCTGAAGCCCTCGTATACAATACAAGTAAAAAAAAAATAATAAGAGAAAAAAAGCAAACATACAACATATTAACACATAGTCATTTCACAATCGTATAGTCATGATAGTTCCATTAGAACATATAAAACAGTTACAGAGTGCATGTAGTAAATAGATACTATATACAAATCAAAACCATACATTCTAAAAAAGTAATAGTTGCAATCATTTCAAGACTGAATATTGGGACTGCCTCAAGTATCGTTTTATAATTTGTTTAAAACAAAAAGTGTTTTGCACTTTACTCATTTCATATGGTAGTCCGTTCCATATAACTAATCCAGAATAAGCAAAAGATTTTTTAAACAGTTCAGTTTTTGGCTTAGGAACTATCAAATTACCTTGAGTTAAATCCCTTAAAGCATAAGGATTCTTAACAGATATAAGTTGAAACTTTTGAAGTAGGTACTGTGGTGCTTCTTTCCGCATACATTTATATAGCAGTAAATATTTGTGGTATTTGATTCTGTTTCTACTGTCATAAATATGATGTAGATGTAAGTAACTATAGGTCACTGTAAGCAATAGCAGAACCCTTACTGTATAGTCAGCTTTAAAAGGCCCCAGCATGACAAAATGTGACACTATTCAAACAAGAAAACCAATGGCCTGATTTATAACAAAACTATTAACAAAAAAAAATGATGGTTATGAACTAACAAAAACCATTGAATGAAGGCTCGTAATAACAAAAACAGTACAAATGTTATTGCACCGGATGCGCATTTCGACATTAATGTCTCTTCAGTGATGCTCGAGGCCAAAATATTTGAAATTCTAGAACTTATACAAACATTGAAGAGCTGATCAAACCAAAAAAGACCTAAAGTAAAGCCAAATTCGGACAAGGAATCAGAGCTTTGCATGAGGGAGATATATATTGAGTCATTCCTTACTTAAAATGATTTCTAGAATTTCAATCAAACAATATCCTTATTTTCACGCCAGTACTGAACTACTGGCTACTGGGCTGGTAATACCCTCATAACTTGAGTATATAGAATGTGGTGGCATGTTTGTGAGCAGAGCACTCAACCCCCTCCCTAACCTGGGGACAGTGGTGTTACAGCACAGCATAGATGTAAGAACAAACTGTGTTGGAAATGAATTTACTCAAAAGATTGGAACAAAGAAAACAACCAACTTAAAATCAAAAGACACAAATTACAGTAACTGAAATTTTGTTTAAAGCCAATAACAACTAATAAATAAATCATGTTTTCCCAGAATAAATTTGAATTATCCATCAATACTACAAAACTTTTTATCTTGATAATGCTTAACCTAACATGACCTAAGGTATGGATTGGTAACCGAATGTCCACATCATATTTCATCTTAACTGGTTTGTATTATTTTGACCCTTGGCCATTGAAGTTTTTTCACATCTTAATCTTTTTTGATCATCCTCACAACTGTTGTACATGTATATACTGTATAAGACTTCATCTTAGAAATGGCTTCTTTCACTGAGAAGAACTGATCATGAACAAGACATACAAATGTAAACAAAAAGTAAATTCAAAGCCATGTGGAACTCCAAATCAAATATGCCCATTCTTCAAAATAACGGAACAGATAATTACTGTAGTATTATGAAAAATAGGCATATTAATGGTTTGATAATAAAATTAAATAAAAAAAAGATAGAAATTTCTTTTTTAAAGACATGCTTTTTCTATGATGAAGGCCTCAGGGAAGATTAGTTATATAGCTAACTGTTTAACCCTCTTTAAATAAAGTATTGTTGTTGTTGTTGTTGTTTGTGGAACTT